CACCAAATAAAGATCTGACTCAAGACTGACTCTGCTAGTGTAGCATTTTCCCTGGGGGATTTTTGGTTTTAATTAGACGGTTCACTGCTACTGTGTAGTGCCATTATGGCCGGACATGGTTAGGGGTAACCTGGTGACACCAGCACTGATTGGACTGCCCTTCACCAATCAGAAGCTCAGTGCCCAGTGGGCCACTGTTTGAACATGGAATCATGTTGTGCACTATAGTCAAATGTACTGTAATGTGAAAAGGGATGTGCAAAAAAAACAAAAAAAATAAAAAAGCAAAACCTACTACCAGAAAAGGGGAAAGAGGGATGAGTAAACTTCTTTTACTGCAGACAAATGTGCACATAGTTGCTAGTAAGACTAGCCTCAAGCAGGATGCTCATAGCTTAATAATAAAAGCTGTGCAAAGGCCATGAATGAATGAATTTTCTGTTCATTTCACTGATACACACATTACCTCATTGACAATTCGGAAGTAAATGCAACGTGTGTTGACTCTTGGAAAGCAGCAAAAACAGGCACTGAAGAAATTCTTAGAACCAGCTGTAACCTAGTAAAGAATTGTTAAGTTGTGTTTTCATTTTGTTTCATTTTTTGCTAAGTATTAAAACATTATTCTGGAACATCAGTATGTTTCCCTTAGACCGCTCCCAGCAGGTGGCAGCTCACATCGCTGCAATATTGTAATTATAACTGACTGTGCGTAAGTTATGGATGTAGACAATACGTTTCACTCGTTCATTCAGCATGTAAATAAAATCGATCCTATTGAGTTATCATAACTAAAGTTCAACTATTTCCCATGGTTATTATTTTCACATATCATTCATGATGTACATTTGTGTACATTGGGAAGTGTAGTAGTCTATGTAAATGCAATCCTCAGTGAGATTCCTCAGTGCTGGGTCCCATACGATTGTATTTGCCCTTTTTAATGAGGTTTTCTTGTTCAGTGGCTTCAGGTTTTTTTCTTTGTACATTTACTTTTGAAGATGTACTTCAAGTTTGAATCTTCTAGAACCTTTGTTAAGTCCCACTTTAATTTTTGGAGTTACTTTGTAGTCATATGTAGTTTAACTTTGGGGAAACGTCTTAATATTGTATTGAACAAACTTGCTAGTAAGTAAGGTCCTGGCACAGGCTGATTCAGTCAACATGATTTCATTGCAAAGTCTATTAGAATCAGCAAGTTTTTGCTTTGCTAAATATGACTATTCAATGAACACAATTCTACGTAAATTTTGAAAATGCCATCTAATTTATAAAAATCAGTAAAAAGGTTTTGGTAAAACTTTTTCATGCCAGATGCTGTTTACAACAATGAACATGCCAATAAAACATTTGTTCATTCTGTTGTGTTATTTTAGTCATTAAACTTTTATGGAAGAATCTGGGTTAAGAATAGATTTGTTTTCTTTGTAACATTTTGTAATGTATATTGAATAATTCCCATTTCTATGATAAGGTATGTTTAAAGTTTTCATAAGAGATGTAAAGATGTTAATACTTAACTATGGAGGATACTGTATTTCAAAATCAGATTTTTACCCTTTTTCCTTTTAAGAAAGATATAATTAGTAAATAGTATTAGAAGATGTTGGCTCTGAAGTTTGGATATAATAATTGAAAAGTTCATAATGTCTTTAAGGTCTCTTGGAGTCAGGAGAAAGGCTTTTCTAAGGTATTTTTCTGGCTAATTTTTATTCCATGAAAACTAGCTTTTTGCTAAATTTGATTGAAATGCTGTTCTAAGTTTGCATTAGTGGAATTGGTATTCTCAAGATGAAAAACTTGGAAGCATTTGTGGTGATTTGTCCTTCAGATAGATCACTTGGATGTTCTGATGTAATGTGACAGCTTTTTGGTTGTACTTTCTTGGAATATAGGGGTTAATAAATCAGGTTTCTGCTTTCAAGGACTGACTGTGGAGCAGTAGAGGCTGATATATAAACCAAATGGGCTTTGGGACTCACTTTGGTTTAATGTTTCTATGACTAAATAGGTAACATTCTTACACCTCCTCATTGTGTGCCTTCTGCCCTGTTTGTGTGTGTGTATGTGTGTGTGTGTGTGTGTGGCTTCTAACTGCAGGCATATTACAAATACCAAGAGTAAAGAAAATATATTTCACATAGTAAAGATAAATCGAAAGCTTCTTGTTTTTCAGTGCCTGGTAGAGTGAAAACACATTGTTGCACTTAATAATTTCTGTAAAGGTTGTGGTGAACTTTTCAAAGTGGATTTTTGGCAGAAACAGTACTTTATAGGATGGTGATTAATGTGTGTCAGCCTCCCTCAGATTCAGAGAATCAAGTGAGTACCTGTAAGCCAAGAGTCAGAGCACTGTGTGGATCAAATGTTCCAAGCCCAGAGGCAATGGAATCTGCTGATCACTTACCTGATGAATCTCCTGAGGCTGACAGGGCCCAGATGCAATAAATCATGACCCTGCTTCTCACAGGTCACACCAAGGTTTTGAAGAGCTTTTACAGTGCAGCACATGGGTTGTGTCAATCAGACATGCCCTGTGAGAACCAAGTACTACATTCTGAGATAAGTGTCAAAAGCAAGGGGTACTTTCTGGCCAAAGAAGCAAAAGTTAGAATTTCAGGACCACATTGTGCTTAGCGGATCTGTACATCCACTTGTCAAATTAAGGAAGTATAAGTAAGAGAGTAGTCATGATCAGATGAAAATAGCTAGTGAGGGAGCCCCACATTGGAGTGTTTGATGATCTCTCAGAATGGGAAGTATTAGAAATTCTGGGAAAATGGGGGTAGGGCAGTGTGGGGAGGGGGGCCTGTGAATGTATGCCTCGGCTGGAAGGTAGTCAAGTAGCTGTTGGTTGACAGGCTACCCTGTTAGAAAATTGTGGCACATCTCTAGGCCAGAAAAGGAGAACTACAGACTTGCAGCTTGGTCCAGGCCAAATGAGTGCCCAGCATCAGGGCACTGCAGTGTTGTTAGTAAATGTGGAAGTGACCTGTGAATGTATGGAATACAATAAAATTTGTTACTCTGGTTCATTTGTTAGTTCCTCTTCGATTGGCTACTATAGTTCTCCCTCTGAATTTCATCCTTTTCTGCATCAACACTCTAACCAACATTTTTAAACTTGTGCTTTACAGGTTGTAGTCTACATGGCACAGAAGATAATCTGAAGTAGCAAATTTGTTGTTCGGTAAATAAAACTTCCATCTAAACAATTCTGTGTAATTTTTGAAAAACCAGTATTTTGTTCACTATCCATCAAAAGCCTTATAAGGCCATTCATCCTTAAATCCAATGTAAAATTGTGTGAATGTACAGCTTCCTAGGGGGCTATTAAAATGTTTTCTCAGGTTAGCAAAGAAGATCATGACCCAAATAAAATAGCCACCTGTGCTTGGCAGACATGAAATCAAGATACCCCTTCAGTGTTGTTCATGTGGGAAAGAGGAGCATTACATGATCATTTAGTTATTTTCAATAACTAATTTTCAAAACTGGCTTTCAGAAACCAAAATACTTGACAAAATCAAGAGTGCATTAAAACGTTATGACCATTTAGAAACAAATTCCCCAACCACTAGGGGCTAAGCTGGGGGTGCAAAACAGCATTGAGAGGAATGCTCTGCCCCCTCCTGGTGACAGCAGTGCTGCACCCTCCCCTCACCAGCTAATCTGTAAGAAGAAGCTGGTCTGATTGGTCAGTCTGAGAATTCAGTAGGAATTCAGCTATAGTGGACCTTATAGACTTGCCTGAAAAGTGGGGACAATGGTCACCCCTCTGCTACCTTTGCTCCCACCCTGTCCCTTCCCCCAGTACAGAGGGCACTCAGTATTCAATCTCTCTAATAATGTTTAAGTGACTTGTTTAATTAAGGAGCATCAACTTGTTGAGATACAAATAGCAGTGGTTCTGTTTTTCTAGTAACCATGCCCACTGTGTTCTTATCAAATGCAGTTTCTCACTGGAAGTGGGCTCTGATGAAGTGGAGCAGGATGATATACCTGAATATAAGTTTAATCTGAGGTACCCCTGTCTCCCTGGCATCTAATACAGGGCCTGACAAATAGGTGCTCTAAATTTTTGTTGAAGTAATTTTCAGCCTCTTGTCCAAACACTGAAATTTACCTTGTCTTCCAGCCACTGTGAAGTACTTGCAGTTACCACGGTATACTGTCCCTCTTGCCTCCCTCTGCCCTGGCCCAGAATGCCCTTCCTTGTTTCTTCTAGTGTCCTGATAAACTCCTGTTATCTCTCAGACCAGTTCTCACCCCAGTGCTCCCAAGCCAACTGATCCTTTGCGTTGCCCATGACACTGTCCTGATGTTGAGTGGACACTTGGCTTTGTAAGGGTGCTGGATTTAGTGTTTCTCCCTCATTAGGCTGTGATGCTTTCAAGATAGGGGCCTTGTCTGGATCAACTTGGCACCCCCAGAGCATATCACAGCACCTGGTTTTGAGGAGGCTCCCAGTAAATATCTGCTCAGTGATAAGGAGGTAGAGTGGTCCTGAGGATTTCTGACACCAAATAGAGAACAGCTCTATAATCTTAAAATTATTAGTATATCCTGGGCATTCAGCACACTAGATACTGTTTTTGTTCAATTTCTAACTTTATCATTTAGTGAGCCTCCATTTCTTCATGAGTTAAATGAAGTAGCTTTATTATTATAGTGCCTGAAGAACTTACATATTATGACCCAGAACTGCATTTGATTAAAGAAGGTTCCCAAGAAAAGTCATATGCATTCCATTTACTTTTTCAGAATTACTCGAGACTAATTCCCAATAAAAATGGTTAACAATTCCAAAAAATTTGGATGCTAAAAGAAGTGTGCTTCAGTTGTCTGGAAAATTTACTTCCATGGAAGAGTATTTTGGGGTTTTGGGTGTTTTTTTTTTTGACAGTGCAAGTCATTTCCATTTTATTTTTTCTGGCCTGAAAGGGTTTTATATTTATTCAAATCCGAAAGGAAAAATGACGTCCAAGAACTACAAAACAGTAGTTTAAGTGATTTATGCTTGATTTCTAAATGCCACGTATGTGTTTATACATAATTTAAAACTTAAAGCATGCTTATACCATATGAAACTTTAAATTTTAATAACTCTGGATGAATACATGATGGAAAGAGTCCATGGCATCTGAAAATACCATTTGTGTAACAACATACTGTCCAGTGCTCTCAGTTTGAATATTACAACCATATTTCATAGAGCCTTGCTTGGTTTGATTTTCTCCATGTGGTTGATCACGGTCTTCAGTTGCTGGTAAGTAATTTTGCAAATTTCATTTATAATCCTAGCCTTACAATGACTTAAGTACTGTTTCTGGCAAATTAACATACATTATGCTCCAATCATGCAACTTCAAAGTTACTGACATTAACTAATTGTCATAGTGGGGCAGTGTCAACAATATTTGTTGACATTAGGATGATTGCTATCATCTACACTGGGAGAACGCTGCTTTTTCTAACAGTGGAAGTTTAATCTTACAGGGATATGTGAACTAGTTTGACCTTAATTCCAGACATGCCTCAAAAAAGGAAAGTTCCCATCGTTCCTCGTTTTAGAGGGTACTTTTGGTAACAAGGCTGATGGCGAGGAGTGGGGAGAGCACTGGGTCAAATCCTGCTCTGGTCTTCACTGGCTGTGTGACTTGGGCAAGCAGCTGGATGTCTGAGCCTCAAGAGATCCTAACAGTGCCCCCCCATCACTAGCTATGGTTAAAAGCCTGTCTGTAGATTTGAAACTGCTGCCCTGGCACAGAGGTAGAAGCTGAGTAACACTGCCTGAAAGGCTGAATGCATGTGACACAGTGAGGCAAACATTTCACCTGCAGCAGCTGAAGGCACAGCTTGCCTATGCTCAGGGGAAGCGCTGCCTGAAAAATCAATGTTACATTTTGCCAGGTTTATGTTTGCAAAGCAGGCCACTCTTCTCCACATGTGTGAGTCAACATTTCCCTATAACCTGTCATGGGGAAATTCTGGGTCCTTTTCTATCCCCAGCCCTTCAACAATTCTCCAGACCACATAGAACAAAATGAAAGGTGCCATTTGTCAACTAGCAAAGGCAAAGAAGCCAATAATTTGGCACAGTTTAGCAGCCCTGTTCTGCCTTCACCCCAACACCCAGCACCCACACATGCCTGTCTTTCCCAGGGCACAGTCTGGGGAAGCTGGACCAATGCACAGCACCTCATTCCACTTCAAGCCAAGGGGAAAATGAACTGGACAGAGGCTGTGGGAAAAAGCCCGGTGAGCTCACACCTAGAGGACACAGCTGGGGAAATAAATTAGCTATTTCTATTACATGTCTGCCTTAAGGACATCCCTGGGTCTAAATCTCTTCTCCCTCCAGCAGCTCAGAGGCAGCACCCGGCTCCCCAAGTGCCATTTCCATAGACAGGCTCCTCTCCAAGTTCTCCAGCTCCTGACGCACCTCCTCAATGAAGCCACCATCTACGTACTCCTCGGGGACCTCTCTGGGTACCAGGCTCTCTTCTTCCATGCGGCTCCCAATGAAGGCTGGCTTGCACACGTACACCAGGCTGTGGCTGGGGAGAGGGGCTGTGGCTCAGCCGGGCAGTGCCTCCCCGCTGGGGCAAAGCCCACCTCTCAGCATGAGGGAGCTGGGCTTGAAGCCCCGGCCTGAAGCGAAGGCCATGCCTTTGCCTCTGTCCACCTTCGAAACACCTCCTGTAACATCTCTTCAACAGCCTTAACTTCCTGTCAACATCTTACTGAGGGAGGGCCACTTCCGGAGAAGGTACTTGAGGGGCAGCTCCCTGCTCCAGCTGCAGGTCGGCCTGCCTATGACTAACTCAGGCTCAGCATCCTAGAGGAAGGCCTTGAGGACACCAGGGTCTGAAAGTTTACAGCAACAAGGTGCCCCTCCAGCCCCCCGCCCATCTGAGTCCCCGGGCAGGAGGCATCCCTGACAGCGAGCAGGAGCTGAACAGCCTTGTCTGCTGGGCCTCTAGAGAGCCCTGGGCCTGGAAGTCCAGGGTGGGCGGTTCTGCCTGTCCGCCCAGCAACCTGGGTTCTGCAGGAACAGAAGGTTGGAGAGCAGCTGCTGAGAGGTCCAGTGAGACGTGCACTGAGAACTGGTCACGGCTCAGCTGATGCTTCAGTCTTGGCAGCTTCTGATACCACTGGCCATGCCCTCTAATGTGGTGGCCCACTCTCTTGGCTTGGCCCCTACCTTTCTGACTGTGCCTTCTCGGTCACCTCTGCTTGTCCTTCGTTGTGACAGGTGTGGGTTCCCTCCTCAGCCCTCAGCTTTTCTCCCCCAACTCCCTCTCCCAGATCCATCCACTCAGGAGGCTTAACCACCATCCTGGGGCTCCTAGGAAGCCCAAGCCACTCCTTCTCCTGAGCCCCAGGCCTACAGATTTGGCTGCTGTTGAAACCTCCTCTGGAAGACCCATGGACCCCTCAAGTTTAACCTATCCTAAACTAAATTCACATCTCTCCTCTACTCCTGCTCCTGAGTCCCCACGGGGGTGGCATGTTGTCTGCTCTCTGCCCCGGTAGGGAGAGCAGGTGGGACCTCACCTGTGAGGCTGGCAGAGAAGGCCACTGGCACATGGGCATCGGTCCAAAGCTCCATCAGGCTCCAGCTCCCAGGTGATGAGGTCCAGAAGCCGGCTGGCAGGGTCATGGCAGAGCTCCCCCTCCACCGGAAGGGGTGTGCACACAGGGAACAAGAGGTCTGGGGCCAGGCAAGAGGCACACCTGCTAACTCCTCCATGCCCAGCATCAAGTAGGCAGACACCAGGGGAGGGAGAAGAGACAGGGTGCAGCCTCCCGCCTTCAACCCTCAACCCAAAAGTGGAAATTAGGATTGAAGAGGTGCAATTAGAAGAAACAAAATGGCCGCATGCACTCAGGAGAAAACAGGCCAGGAGGGCTGGAGTATGTAGGGAGGACTGCCTGAAAGAGGCAGGCTTGTGCTGGGTTTTGAGGCCACAGGTCTAGAGGGACTAAGAGTGCAAGAAAGGTGTTGAAGGCTGGAGCACAGCACCAACAAAGGCCTTGGGATTGGGCTTGGTATGGTAGGAAAGGTTGGGACAGAGAGATTCCCAAATGGGCCGAAGTGAGTATAGAGAAAAGGGTAAGCATAAGGTAGAGGGGATGGAGAGAGGCTACTCAAATCCCACCTGCCCTGGGCTCACACACCTTGAAAAAATGTAACTTTTCTAGGCATTGACAGGGAAAAAGAGAGAGAGAGAAATGGTCTTCCACTCCAGATTGGGACCCCTACTCAGGCAGAGGCTGGGGGGCTGGGTCACACACTAAGTGAGCATTTGGGAACCTACCCGGGATGTGGGGCCCTGAAAAGGTGTGGCTGGCATGGGCAGGGCCTCAGGAGACCCAAGACAGTGCAGCTTGGGACAAGTCTTGCCCTGTCCCCAGAGGGGACCCTACGCACCTCTCTGGAAGGCACAGCACAGCCCAGGCCGGCAGTCCCTCTGGTTGTCACAGATGGTCCCGTTGCTGCCTTTGGTGGCCGTCTTGCTGCAGTGACCCCAAACACACAGCTGATCCCCACAGCACTCACTGTCTCGGGTGCAGAGCTGGAGAGAGGTGGGAAAGCCCAACAGCCTCTGGCTCATGGCCCTGGGAGAGCCTTGAGCCCAGCCCAGAAATCCGGAAGATACTGCAGCCGGGCTAACCCACGGCCCCATTAGAGGAAGAAACCAAGGTCAAGGTCTCTGTGGCTTTTGGTACAAGTCAAGAGGGTGGAGATAGGAACTAGGCTGGTGAGGACATGAGGGGTTAGAACACTAGAAAAATGGCACCAGGGAGAGTCATGTATCTGAGTCTTCCTAACAGCTTGAGATTTTGCAAGGATGGTAGCGTGTTTTTTCAGTACCCCCTGCCCCCCAGACTTGTGCCTTGCTTCCTTTTTTTAGGTCCCTAAGGTCAGGAAGGAAGGTGATTTACAAGGAGGAAGGAGACCAGCAACAGTGTGATTCTGGTATCTAATTAATCAGGGCCCAAAGCCCAGAAGGCCAGGTGGCTGCAGCAGGTGTGTGGGTGCCATGGCCTGGAGTCGCCCAGGGAAGGCAACTAGAGATGGCACTGAGCAGGCAGGCCGGGACAGCGGCAGTTGCCCAACCTCGGGGGGCACCCATCAGGCAAGCAAGAAGCCCTGTATTTTCCAAACTAGTTATTGTGTTGATGCCCCCCAGACTTGTGCCTTGCTTCCTTTTTTTAGGTCCCTAAGGTCAGGAAGGAAGGTGATTTACAAGGAGGAAGGAGACCAGCAACAGTGTGATTCTGGTATCTAATTAATCAGGGCCCAAAGCCCAGAAGGCCAGGTGGCTGCAGCAGGTGTGTGGGTGCCATGGCCTGGAGTCGCCCAGGGAAGGCAACTAGAGATGGCACTGAGCAGGCAGGCCGGGACAGCGGCAGTTGCCCAACCTCGGGGGGCACCCATCAGGCAAGCAAGAAGCCCTGTATTTTCCAAACTAGTTATTGTGTTGTGTTATAATCTTAAGGTAAAAGGACAAAAAAAGTCTATGAGCCTATAAAGCTAAGTCCAAGGCATGTGTTGGGTGGAGGGAGAGTCTCTGCCCCCTTGGCTTCAGGCTTCTCCATGCATCTCCGTCAAGGAAGTTCCCTGGCTGCCTCCTGGCCCTCCTTCTGCCCTGTCTGATTGGGCAGAGGAGGAGGAAGACCTGGGCAGTGGGTTGCAGGCTGGGAAGGAGAGGCTGTCCTTTCCCTGCCCCGGGGACTGTAGCAATGTCTGCTGGGACAGGTCTTCCCCAGGGGAAGGGACAGGAGTAGAGCCTCCTCCTCTTCCCTCCCTCTCCCATCTGTCATCCTGAGTCAGGGATGGGACCAGAGCTCTGTGGTGGGCAGGGGTGGCAGCAGATCTGCAGACGGCTCCCTAGGCACTCTGGAGGTCAGCCCCATCCAAGTGTGAACGAACAGGCTTCTGGGGAACCCAGCCTTCTCCCCCAGGCCCCCTCTGCTGGGACCCAGCCTCCGGCCCCAGTGCAGTCACGAATGCCTCTGGGCACACTCACAGTCTGCTGTTCATGGCACGGCTGGCAGGTGTACTTGAAGCTGGCAAACTGGCAGTACCTGGCGGGCCCACAGTCCTCATCAATGATGCACTCCTGGGGGGCGGTGCACAGCTTCGTCAGTGAAAGGCAGGTCAGCAGTCCACAGTGCCCGCAAGGGCAAAGCCCCGTCTTACCACTGCCCTTACCCCACAGGCTCGGGCAATCAGGCGGCCCCCACTCCCCTCCTGCCCCAGCCCCAGCCCCAGCTCTTCAACATCCACGCTGCCAAAGGGCGGGCCTGCCTGGGCTTCTGCCCTCCAGGATGCCACACCCGTCCACACAATCTGGTTTGTGCTGCCCTCCCCCTCACACACCCGGGCAGGGAGCAGACTCGCGGGCATTCTTCAACTCAAGCAGATGGATTTAATAAAAGAACTAATGAGTTCCAGGCCCCAGGCGGCTGCACAGGAGGGGCTGGAGTCCAGGCCCACCCGGGGCCCTGCCAACTGGGAAAGGGCTGCAGCCACAGCAAGCCCTCCCCAGGGTCCCTGATCGGGTCTGGGACTGCCGGGCAAAGGCAGCCCAGCTTCCCAGGGACAGAAGGGGGCTGGCTGGCACCGGGCCTGCCAGCCCAGGTGCCCTCTGGTGGCCAGCCCCGCCTGGAGGGTGGGAGGGAAGGAAGGGAGTCTATTGAGCACCGAGGCCCGGAGGCCCCGAGGCCCACAAGAGGGAGGCCTCCGTGGGCTGTGTCAGCTCCAGGGCTTGTTGCCCGGCCCAGGCAATGAAACGGCAGCTACAAGGGAAGCAGGGCAGGAGGAGCGGGAGGCCACAACCAGACCAAGCACCGAGGAGCCCTGACAGGCGCCCACGCAGGCAGGCACCGCCACCCTGCTCTACCTGTGACTCCTCCCAGCAGGGGGCGGGGGGGAGATTACTTTCCCCACGTTGCTAGCCTGAGAATGGAAGATCTGAGAGGCCAAGGGGACCCCCAAGTAGCTCAGCTAATGTGGGGTCAGGGGACTCTCTCCCACACCAGCCCTCAGGCAGGGGCCAAGGGCTCCGATGGGCTTTCAGGGACAAGCGGATGGGAAAGATCCCCCTGAGGCGGGTACACTGGAGCCCTAGCAAACCTTCCAGAAGGGTCTGGGGAAGAGAAGGACCTGCCTTCCCCTCTCACCAGGCTGTGCTCCACCCTGAAAGAATGAGGAGGCAGATCAGTAAGCCCACAGGCCCTGGCCTAAGTGGCTGGTGCTGGTCCCTACCTCTGCTCTGAACTGAGTTCAGATGGGTACGGACAGGGAGTCTGCCAGCAGGGCTTCTAGGGACCCTGGAAGCAAGAGTACGTGTGTAGGCCTGGGAGGCAGCAGGGAGTCCCTGGCCAGGTAGCCTGGGGAATGGGGCTCTGTCACTGGGAGGTGGCTGCTCTCCCTGGTCCAGCTCTAGGTGACCTCTGGCCAACACCACAGCCCAACATTGCACTGGGCACATGGTCCAGGGCAGCTGTCGGCTCAGCCTCTGCACAGTGCCATTGCAATGCCAGCTCTGGCGCCGATGCCCAGCCTGTCTCACTGGTCCACTAGACACCATCTTCCCTCAGCCCCTCTGAAGGATGACAGGGAACAGGCCAACCTGGAGACAGTGGTACACGTCACCACCATGCGCCAGGCCCTGTGCTCACCAGGGGCTCCAGGAGAGACAAGGGCTGACACCCAGAATAACTGAAGAGCAACTCAAGTCTTCACTGTGACTTCTTTTAAAATGCCAAAGGACAGCGCACTGCCTGACAGACGCCATGAAGAAGGGCATGAAATCGCTCTTCTCGGTGTCTCCAGAGTTCCGCTCATTTCAGCCCTCCCGTGCAGCTCTGCCCACGGTTCCGATCACGACAGCAAGCGGGGCAGCTCAGCAGGGGGAGCTCTCCCTCCCAAAAGGAGAGGTCCATGTCTTGTTCCAGCCCAGCAGCCCTCAAAGGTCAGCATACTACCAGCACTGTCTCTATGGTACAAGCTGAGGCTCAGACTGGGTGGAGGGGCTGCCCAAGTTAAGGGCTGAGCTGGAGGCTAGGCACTAGGTCTGTCTGACGCCACTGTGGCTTGAAAAATCCATGGGCTGTGAGTAAGCCAGGAGACACACCTCATCTCAGCCACCACACGCCCCAAGACACAGTCAGTTCAGCCAGTTCAGCTGCAAGGGCCCTGATGCTTCTTCCAGAACAGCAGGAGAATGGGCTGGGAGGGCCTGTAGGCATCAAGGCCCTTCTCCGAATCTGGCCAGATTTTGAGGCTCTGCGATGCAAATGTGAATATGAGAAGGCCCTTGCCCTCAAGAATTTACAATTCAATGGAAAACAACAAAGAAAAAGGCAACCCACTGGAGAAGAGACCAAGGACTGAGCAGCCAATTCACAACAGAAACTGTCTTGCCTCTCCTATGGAAAAAGATGTTCTTCCTCACAAATACAAGAAAATGCAATTTAAAGGAGTAGGATGCCATGTTTTCACCTAAAATGGAAACAGTTACAAAGGTTAATATCTGTGGGAGGCAGAATAATACTCCCCCCACCCCCACCTGCAAAAAGGTTCTACTCCTTGGAACCTGCTGAGTAGTCACATTGCACTGCAGAGGGAAATTAAGGTCACAGGTGGAATTAAGGTTGCTAATGGGCTGACCTGATGATTTAAGGAGAGAGTCCTGGATTATCCAGGTGCACCCAATGCAATAAGGGCTTCGGAAGTGGAAAAGGGGGCAGAAGACTCTGTGTTAGAGTGATACTGCATGGGGAGGGGTCCAGAGTCATCCAGACTCCATGCTTTGGGTATGGAAGGGGGCCACGGGCCAAGGCACAGACCCTCTCCTAGAGCCTGCAGGGGTACGGCCCTGCCGACACTTTGATTTCAGCCCAGTGAGACTGCGTCAGACTTCTGGCCTCCAAAACGGTAAGATAATACATTTGTGTCGTTTTAAAACCACTAAACTTATAAGAAGTTGTTACAGCAGCAATAGAAAATGAATATAATATCCAATGTTGGTAGTGATTTGTGGAAATGGGCATTGTTAGATGATTTGGTGGTAATTAAAAGTGAACTGGATATTTTTGTAGGCAATTATCAGCATTTATCAAAAATTTAAATGCATATGTCATTTGACTCAGTAATTTCCCTTCTAGGTGATTATCCTCAGGGACACTTGTCTGCATGTGCCACTGTCTGAGTACAGGGACCCTTACTTAAAGCTACGTTGTTACATTATCTGCAGTCCAGAAATAACAGAAGTGCCCCAAATAGGGGGTTGATTAAAGTATTGTATTATGCAGTCATTTCACAGGGAAACACCACCAAGCAGACATTTTTAAAAATTAGGTAGTTCTTTGCTTTGTGATGTTTCCAAACATTAGTAAGGAAACATACATATCCCATTAATTTGGCTTATTTCCCAAGAATCCTGTAGACTTGGAATTTCCATTACATGCTTCCTCTTGCAGATCTTTAATTAAAAAAATATGAGCTAAGACCCTCCCAGCACCAGTCCTGCCAAGGCCCTGCTATTTACAACTCTTCTCAAATAGAGCACATTCACCCTTAGGAATATCTTCCTTTCCCTCACCTGGCTCCTGCTCCCGACAACACACTCCCTGCAGAACGACAGTGAAGCAATTCTTTTGTTTTCTAGATATGGAAATATGTTTGGTATGGAACCTCACCAAACTACTTTTGCAAAGCCTCAATATACTAAAGCTCCTGGTTTCCTTTGCTGACATGTTTTCGTTCTGCCAGAGCTCTGGGGGCTTGGTTCGGCATGACTTCCCAGAGAAAGCTGGGCGCTTTTTGTTCTCATAGTCTGCCAGCCTGTTGGTTGTGGATGTGCATTCCCAGCAGCCCCAGAAATACTCTGTAACAGTGGTGATCATACTGGAAACTTTGGAACTCCACGGTGAGAAGCCTAAAAGGCTAGAAGGCACAAACTTTGAGTCCCAGTTTTGCCACTTAATAGCTGTGTGATCTTGGGCTACAGATTGAAAGTGAGCAGAACAGGCCTGCCTCACCAGCTGTTGTATTGAGCTAGTGCTCTCTGAATGGTGCCATAGCAACAGAAAGCATGTGTCCTACACCCACCCTATGCCTGACTCCCCGTGGAGCCCCGACAGACAGAAGGGCAGGTCTAAATAGCAGGGGCGATGTCTCCACCAGCCAGCTACGCTCCATCTCTCTGCCTGTCAGCACTTGGGGGTTTCACGTCCAGTTCTGACTTACCTCTCTCTAGGGTGTCGGGTGGGTGGGCAGGGGCCAGTATAATCAGGAGGAATACAGTTCCAGAAGGCAGAGAGGCCTCTCGCTGTGTGAACACCAGACATTCCATTCGATAAGGCTGTTAGCTTTGGGTGTTTCCTGAGGATCCCTTTATAGTGGGGGGCAGTGTCCCCTTTCCTGGTGTTACAGGCCTGGGGAACAGGTCAGCTCTCCCACCTTAAACAGAACTGAGTGGGAGGGGAGAGCACAGGTTGGGGCCCCCCAACTACACCCAGGCCTGGAGCTGAGAAATGCAGATTTTATTCTTTTCAGCTTACCTGTGTTCAAGGGTTATATTCACATTTGGGCCAATGTTTAAAGGGGCCTCAGCACCTAGCTGGGCACAGGATGGCTGAGGTGGTGAACTCTGAAGGTAGAGGCCTACGAAGTGAGAGAGGCTTGGCTGAATGGCCATGGAGGTTCCGAGATTGGGGTACCTTTTAGACCATTAGGACAGGAAGAGAGACTCTGTGCTACCCCCAAGGCAAACTTAAAGACCCACAGCAGTACAGAATGTGGGGGTTACTGGGGCCCCACGGAACAGGGGCGGTGAGCCACCTTGCCCTCAGAGCCCACAACAGCAGACTATGGCCTCCTGGCACTGAGCCCTGGGGAGATGGGGCCACTCGGACCCACCACTTGGCAGAACTTCTTTCATCCCCTCAACATGGATCTTATTCCCATTTCACAGATGTGGAAACTGGGACTAAAGGTTAAGGATCTGCCCAGTCACTCAGCTCAGAGGTGGAGGCAGAAGTCTGAACCAGTCGTCTGACCCTAAGGAAAGATTCTTTGCATCTCCTGGGAAGATCGGTGTTTTCCTCTCCC